GCTGCTTCCCCCCACGTTCAAGAGTCTGCTGCTTCCGTCACCGGCCAGTCAGGACAGAGACTGGCTGGGACTGGGCCCCTTGGCCTCTTCATCTGCTGCTTTGATCATTAACAAACTCAAACGCCCCAGTGGCAGGTGGGGTCCTGAGTGCAAGGGAAGGGGCACGGCCCCAGGTGGTCTGTCACCCTCCTCCTGGTCCCGACCTCTTTGGGATATGTCCCTGGGATTGAGGTGGAGGGTCTGGCGCTGAGGAGCCAGAGCGGTGGCCAGGAGGTGAGGGAGCAGGAGGAGGAGGGACCCTGGGCCAGCGATGAGAAGCAGGCCTCTGAGCCCAATCTGCTGGCTGGAGCCACACAGAGGCCGAGCCCACTGAGCAGAGTGGCCCCAGGGCCACCTGGCGAGAGCTCAGACTCTGGTCCCGACCACGTGGCTAGACACCGACAGGGAGGGATGTGGAACAGGGAGAGCCGGCTGCGCTGGGGCCAGGGTCTCCGAGTCCAGCCCACGGCCAACCTGGAACTGGCCTTTGAAAGAATCCTGGCTCTGCTCTCAGGCCTCAGCTGTGACCTCCACTTGGCCATTCACTCCTCTCTCTCCTTTTTAAAAAATGAATATATTTTTATTGATTTCAGAGAGGAAGGGAGAGGGAGAGAGAAACATCAATGATGAGAATCATGGATTGGCTGCCTCCTGCACACCTCACACTGGGGATCGAGCCCACAACCCGGGCCTGTGCCCCGACTGGGAATCGAACTATGACCTCCTGGTTCATAGGTCGACACTCAACCACTGAGCCACCCGGCCGGGATCGCTCCTTTTTCTATCCCTTCTTCCTCAGCTGCCCCTCAGCCCCCAGCCGCCCCAGGAGCTGCTAAGACCAGCTCCTGCCCTGAGTGCTGGGACAGAGCCTGCCCACCGGCATGGCCAGTGGTCCCAGTGGCTTCAGCATTGACCGTGGGGAGGCGGCCAGGGGAGGGGAGCCGCTCCTAGGGCAGCCGGGCAGCGCCAAGCCCTGACTGTGCCTGGAGTTCCCGTGTGCGGTGGGCGAGCAGGCTCGAGCTCTTGTTTGTTCTCTAAGCTACGTGTTTCTATTTCGGTTCTGCTAATCCAGCCGCAGCCAGTGTCTCCACAGAAACAGCCAGCGATTGCCTGGCTCGCCCAGAGGAACTGGGGGGACAGGGAGACGCCACCCCGAGAGTTCCTCAGTCTGTTCCTCCCGAGCCGGCTCTGGGCCCAGCTCCGCCGCCTGGGGAGGGAGTTGTAGGACAACCGATGTTCCGGCTCCTGTCCCCTCCAGGGAGCCTCGAGACCCCCACCTGCCCGGGAGCACACCTGCGGCTGCAGGAAGCGGTGCCCAGGCAGGAAGGCCTCCTCGGGCCCCTGGGGAGCCGGTGCCGAGGGGCAGGTGGCCGGGGAGTGACCAGCTTGTGGCCCGAGGGGCACTTCCCGGAACAGCTGTGTCCACAGAGGAAGCTCCAGTGCCAGGGGTCCAGGAGCATGGCCCCTGTGGTGAACGGGAATTTCCACACAAACAGAGCATTGCCCGGCCGGAGGGGCTCAGCGCCAACCAGAGCCAGGAGGTCACGGTTCGATTCCCGGTCAGGGCAGGGCACATGCCCGGGTGGCGGCTCCATCCCCAGTGGGAGGCGTGCAGGAGGCAGCCTGTCGATGCTTCTCTCTCATCATTGATCTCTCCCTCATCCCTCATCCCTCTCCCTCCTCAATAGACATACCTTTAAAACAAAAACAAGCCCCCGCTGGCTCAGTAACTGAGGCCAGGGTGCTCTTGGCTGCAGTCAGGTTGATGGAGGGCTGGTGGTGGGAAGGAACAATTTAGTTCCCAGGAAAGGAGTTCCATCGGGGCCATGAAAACTGCCAGCTTTCTAAACAAAACAAAACACAAGCCCTAGCTAGTTTGGCTCAGTGGATAGAGCGTCGGCCTGGGGACTGAAGGGTCCTGGGTTCGATTCCCGTCAAGGGCATGTACCTTTGTTGCAGGCACATCCCCAGTAGGGAGTTTGCAGGAGGCAGCTGATCGATGTTTCTCTCTCATCGATGTTTCTAACTCTATCCCTCTCCCTTCCTCTCTGTAAAAAATCAATATATTAAAAAAAAAAACCCACACAAAACACAAACACAACAAAAACTAAACAGAGGTATATGGGGCGCGGTTACAGTGTATGGACAGGTTCAAGCCTTGGACTGAGCAGAGGGCACAGTCCTCTCGTGGCCACGTGCAAGTCCCAGCTGGAGGGCCGGGCCGTCCCAGCACAATTAGCCAACAGCTATAGCTGTGAGCTTGAGCCTATGGTCCGAACACCTGGCCCCAGGTGCCCGAGTGATAGAGTTCAGGTGCACGTAATTGAGTGGGACTGAAACCCACGAGAACGTTGTAAACATCTTGATCACGCCCTTACTTTGCCTCGTGGCATCTGCTATAAAATAAAGACACGGCTTGTGGGCGCCGGCATTGTCCCTCAGAGGGGCAGCGTCCCACCGAGACCCAGCTTTCATTCTCATGTCTGTCTTTTCTGAGCCTTTCACACCCCCACTCAGGGTCACTGAAACCAGGCTGAGCTGGCGCGGCACATAAGGCGCCCGGGGCTGAGTATGCCATGGCCGTGCAGGCTCGCCCATAGAGGTACATCTGGGGCCGGCCAGGGAGCCCCTCTGCCCACCCAGCCTGCCCCACGCTCCACCCTTGTCCCCCGACAACTGCCTCCACCCAGTCAGGAAACCCCGTTTTGGTCTTCCAGAGTGAGGGCCCCTGCCATTCCCGGCAGCCGCCCCCGCCACCGGAACGGGAATTGAGTTGAGAAGCAGCTCTGACCCGCCCGCAGGGAAGGGACCCCCAGGAGGCCTGGCCTCTGCCCACGCTGGGCACGGTGAACGGCAGTTCGGGCAGGTGCCTGGTGAGGGAGTCCATGGCTGGTTGGCAGAGATGAGGGTTTTAAAAAACTTCATAATTCCTTCTTTCTACAGAAGTGACACATGCCCGTGGCAATAAGTTAGAAAACACAGGAAAAGGGGAAACTGGTCCCCTCCGTGTCCCCTCCGTGACAATGCTCATGTGCTCATACGTTTTCAAACGGGAGCAACTGCATTAAAAAAAGTAGCACATTGTAAATTTTAGAGCAACGAGGTTTGCAGGAAAGTTGTGAACAGTGAGTTTATACCTGCCCCTCACCCAGCCCCCAGTGCGAACAGCTCATCCAACTGGCAGTTCGTCCAACTAAGACCCTAACAGATGCATGAACGGGACCAGCCGCCTCGTCTGGGTTTCACCAGTCTCCCCTCCTGCTCCGGCCCGGCCGCTGCCTCCTCGCCTTGGCCGCTCTCCGCTGGCCGTTTGTCATGACGGTGAGTCCCGGCCGGGCTGGGCCCCCGCGAAGGTGAGCTTTTGATCAGGGGGCCCGAGGCAGGGCGCCTCCTCGTCACACCGCGGGGTGGGTGGCCCCGCAGGACGCAGGCTGCTCACCGGGCACAGAGCTTCCGCCTGCAGACCTGTTCCTCCTTCGCCCTCTGTCCAGCTCCCTCCGGGCGGCGGGGGCAGCGGGAGGCCCCTTTCCTCCGGTCACTCGGGATGCACTGTGGTGACCTGGGCTGCTGACTACCCCGGGCCCGGCCTCTCCATGCAGCCGCTGCCTCCTGTGAGCGGGCGGCCAAGGCCAGAGAAGAAACTGGCCACCACCCCACAGGCTGGGAGCTCACTGCCGGGTCGGTCCTTGGCCTGCCCTCGGCCTGGGTGGGCGGCGGCGGCCGCTGTGCCCCAGGGTGGCCAGGGCTCTCGGGGTGCAGGCAGGCGCCACCCCTCTGGATCCCTGAGCCCAGAGGAGTCACCAGACCTAAACGCAGGGGGTGAGGTCCGTAGCCTCTGAATGTCGGGGGGGGGTCCCCGGGGGCCTCCCTGCTTGGCTCTCTGGGTTGTGGGGCAGCCTCCTCCCCCGGCCCCCCCTGAGCCCAGGAGGCACTCACCTTGCCCCTGTTTCCAGAAGGTCAGACCTGCCAGTCATTAGGTTCCGGAAGGGACGCCATGCTTTTGAGATTTGCCTAAATAATTTCTGATGAGGCCCTTTCTTTCCAGGGTGGGTGGAGCCAGCCCTGCTAAGCTCTGGGGCTGTGCTGACCTCGGGGGCAGTGTCCCGGCCTCTCCCCCTCTCTGCCCACCTTGACCAAATAGGGCCATTGCCCACCGTGGCCTCAGGGTCCCCAGGCCTGGAGGGGCATGGATGAGGTCCAGGCATGAAGGTGGGTGGGAGGCACCTGTGTGCACCTCTCCCCTCCCCACCCACCAGCTAGGGCCCAGTTGTCTGGAGTGGGGGTGGCAGGGAGGCCTCATGAGAATGCCCTGTCAAGAGGGGACCAGGGACGCTCCCAGTCCCTTTGAGGGCAGGGCAGGGCTGGGGATCGAGGGAAGGCTGGTCTAGAGACGAGGAGGGCCTCCACAGGGTCCACCAAGCTCACTGGCTGTGGCCGCAGGGGCTCATGGGAAAGAACATCGAGAGACACAGCAGAGGCCACAGCCCACACCTGCCTTGAGCACCAGGTATATTGACCATCAACCAAAGAAACAGGTGCAAGTGAAAACAAGGAACAGTCAGAACTATTTCAAAGCAACAGGAAAACAAAACAAAGCAAATGAAAACAGCTGGGCTCCCAGCTCCGAAAGGGAACAACTGGAAGTTAAGGGGGGGAGGGGGCGGCAGATTCGGCCAACCCTCTGAGAAACGTGACTCCCGGGAGGCACCGGGCGGGCGCCCTCACTCCATGTGGTATTTGAAAGAGCCCATCAGGTGGTAGTCCTCCTCCAGGTCCAGGACCGTCTGGACCACGCTGTGGTCGTCGAAGGCCCGCCGGAGGCTGCCGGGGTCGGCCTCCACCGCCTTCTGCGGGCTCTCGTCCATGAGCAGCGCCCAGGCCTCCTCCGTGAAGGGGGAGTCGCCGCAGGACTCACACACGCGGTTCAGCTCATTTTCAAACTCCAGTTTCCCGGCCAGCTCCTCAATGGTCCGGATGCTGGTGTTGTCTTGGAAGCAAGGACACAGCGTTACGCTCCAGGTAGGTCTCCGAAGGCAAAGTGAACGCACGTGGCTGCTCGGCTGGGTTTGCACAAGGCGGGCATGTCCGCGGGGGCAGGCCGGCTGCCAGAGCCCGGGCCAAACCTTAAGGGGGCTCAGTGCCCCCCATTCTGGCTCTGCTCTTAAAGTGCCCAGCTATCCGCAGCCCCCAAGGAAGTTGTGGGCAGGAGAATACAGGGGTGCACATGTGTGTCCCGGCTCTCAGGCATGTGGAGAGAGTGGGGTACAACACCGCTGACCTGCAGGGCGAGCAGAGGTAGCCAGGCCTTCAGCTCACCTCCTGGGGCGACTAGAGGAGACTCAGCGCCCTAAGGCAGTGGGCGGGCAGGGTCTCCCCCCACTCGCTGGCATCTCCCTCCCTGAAGAGCCGACAGCTCCAGGGCTACGCATCCTGAAGTAGGAGCCGTGTCCTGTGCCATGAGTCATGGAAACGGGGGTCACATAGCTCAGCCACAGAACGTGCAGACGTGCAGAAAAGTGTCTGCCAGACGCACAGCACGCTGTCAATATCTCTTGGTGGTGGAATTAGAGCGGAGCTTTGGGATTTTTTTTTTTAAGTTAATGTTTTTATTGATTTTTTTTAGAGGGAGAGGAAGTGAGGGAGAGAGAGATAGAAACATCAATGATGAGAGAAACATCACTGATCGGCTGCCTCCTGCACGCCCCCTACTGGGGACCAAGCCCGCAATCTGGGCTTGTGCCCTGACTGGGAATGGAACCAGTGACCTCCTGGTACAGGGGTCAACACTCAACCAACTGAGCCACACCAGCCGGGCTAAGATTTCATCGTGAGTTTCCACCACAGCTGGACGCCCCCACCTTTGTCTACGTCCTGTTTCCTGCAGATCTCAGCTCAACCACCAAGTTCTGGGACCTTGGGGCTGCACTGACTGTGGGTTTTCTGAATGGCTCCCAGGCTGTCAGCTCCACGCCGGTCTCTGCACAGAGCCTCCCATGAGCAAGGCCAATGCACCGAGTACCCGGATGAGAATGAGTGGTCTTTCCTGACCCCCGCCATCGCTGGGCCCGGGGGAGGCCTCTGCTCGAGGCGAGGCGGCGCGCCCGTACTCACCGATGATGTCCAGCAGGTCCTTCGTGACCTCTTGGCTAGAACTGCCGAGAGGCAAATTTGAGTCAACCTTCAACTCTTTCTCCAGATCTTTCCTGCAGCTCCGGGGCAAAAAGAAAAGGTGGGGAATTAGAGCCTCTTTCAAGAAAAATATTATTAGTGTGTTTTTTTAATGTCCTTTTTTAAAAAGTATTTTTATTGATTTCAGAGAGGAAGGGAGGGAGAGAGAGAGAGAGAAACAGTGATGAGAATCATTGATCAGCTGCCTCCTGCACGCCCCAGCTGGGGATCAAGCCCACAACCCGGGCCTGTGCCCCGACCGGGAATCGAATCGTGACCTCCTGGTTCATAGGTCGATACTCAACCACTGAGCCACACCGGCCGGGCCCTCTTTCAATAAAATACTGACGGGGTATTAGGGAATGTTTAAGACACAAAAAAAACCGTACTGGCAACTGTTTGTCACTTAAGCTGTGATTGGAGGACAACGGGAAATTACTACGTCAGTGGCACCGACCGCGGCATCACACACGATGGTCAGTGTCTCTGAAACCAGGATGGTCACTTGGAAGCTGAGCCAGTTAAATGGCTCCGTCCTTCTCTGCCCACACGGCAGCCAAGATGGCAGCTTACAGCTTGGTGCCTGGGGCCAGGCGGTGTGACCGGCCTGGGCGACCCGGGACCGTCCAGAAGGCCCTGGGTGGGCGGGGAGCGGAGGTGAGGGCGAGGCCAGCCACTCACCGTCCCACGGGGGCAAAGGGCACCAGGATGACGATTTCTCTTTCTGTGGCATAAAAAAGTGTGCGGGGTGGGCAGGGGCTGGAGATAGGGGGCAAGGGATGAAGGGGACATCGTATGCCACTACATGAAAGTTTCTTTAAAGGGAAAAAGAA